CGACCCAATGAAAGCGGATGAATGGTTAGAACAAATTGTCAAATCTTTTGAGATTTTGAATATTCTTGAGAATGAGTTACAGGTAGCATTAGCAGCATATCAATTGAAGGGAGAGGCTGGATAATGGTGGAAGTATGTCAAGAATCGAGTTGAACACACATGAGAGGCATTTGTGCACGTTTTCTAGGAAAATTTTCTCCCTCCCACCACTAAGGAGAGACTAAGGAGATAGTTACAGTGAAACTACTGGGAGCTCACGTTCTACACTCGAGTGACAACTCCTTCGCTCGAGCGGCTTTGCCTGTAAACCTGCGAGATACTGGAAGCAGGAATTCTCTGCTCGAGCGACACTTCCTTCGCTCAAGCGGTCACTTGGAACAAGATGTCATAATCTCTCCCCCTTAGGAAATTTTGCCCCTGAAATAGCATTCACTCCCAATCCAAGAATAAAGTATGGCAACAACAATATACTTGTCAATCCTTGACAACACCTAGTTAAGAAATATATATCAATTCAAAACCCAAACCAAAGACAAGGGAGAATTAGAAGATTATGGTTCATTTCTAACTTATCATGTACAAGGAAAGAGCAAAAAGGCAATTGCATCACAAATTGGAAAATAAATCTAGGTATTTCTCGTGGACTTCAGCTTTACGTTCCCATGTTGCTTCTTCAATACCATGGTGATGCCACAAGACTTTGACTAATGGAATTATTTTACCCCTTAAAATTTGGATTGGCCTTTCTTCATAAGGCATATCTTCATCCACCTCAATCTTCACCTAATCTAAGACGTGAGAGGGATCGGGTTTGTATTTGCGAAGCATAGATACATGAAATACATTATGAACTCCAGAGAGTAGTGGCGGTAAAGCAAGACGATATGCAACTTCTCTAACCCGTTCAATTATATCAAAGGGGCCAATGAATCGAGGAGATTTTCAAGAACACATGATCCCCAATTTCAAAAGACAAGGATCTTTGACGACGATCGGCATGGCTTTTCTGTCGGCTTTGAGCTGTGACTAATCTTCATCGAATAAGGGCTACATTTTTAGTTGTCTCACCAACTAACTCAGGCCCAAGCATAGGTGAGTCTCCCATTTCTGTCCGACATACCGGTGATCTACAGGGACGTCCATAGAGAGCTTCAAAAGGTGTCATTTCAATACTAACTCGGTAGCTATTGTTATAAGCAAATTCGATTGAGGGTAGGTGTTTCTCCCACGACCCTTTAAAATCTACCACACATGCCCTTAACATATCTTCTAGAATTTGAATGGTGCATTCGGATTATCAGTCAGTCTGTGGGTGATAAGCAGTACTGAAATTCAGTTGGGTGCCCAAAGCACTCTGGAGACTCTGCCATAGTCTTGTCATAAAGCGAGGGTCTTTATCGGACACTATACTCATTGGAACCCCATAGAGGTGAACAATCTGCCGAATGTAAAGTTCAGCTAGAAATTCTATAGAATCTCCCCTGCTCATGACGAGGAAGTGGGCTGATTTAGTGAGCCTGTCGACAATCACCTATATTGCATCATTACTTCTTTGCATTCTAGGGAGGCCTGAGACAAAGTTCACGTTAACATGCTCCCATTTCCATTCTGTAACTAGAATAGGTTGTAGCAATCCCGTCGACTTTTAGTGTTCGGCCTTGACTTGTTGACATGTCAAGCACTTAGACACAAATAAGGCTATATCCTTTTTCATACTTCTCTACTAAAATTGTCAGCTGAGGTCATGATATATTTTGGTGCCTCCCAGATGCATAGCAAAGTGCGAGTGATGGAAGTCCCACAAAACTTTATCTCTCATTGATTTAGGTACAAATAACCGGTCAAGGTAACGAATACTAGAATCGGTATAAATGTTCAGGCCCCTCTCTTCTTTCCTTTGGGAGACTCTCTCCCTAATTGCATCCACTTCTGGATCACCCAATTGTGCTTCAACTACTCTCATAACAAGGGTGGGTTATGCGAGGTGGTAAATACAATAGCTTGTTCCGAAGATTCATGAAGTTGCAAGTCAAATTCACTAACATCCCTCATCATCAACCATTCCCTTATCACTAAGTTGGCTAGGGTACTTACAGATTTTCTACTCAAGGCATCCCCCACCACGTTGGCCTTACCAGGATGATAGTGTATTTCAAAGTCATAGTCCTCCAAGAACGCCATCTGTCATGACCCAAACCCGCCCCGGTAGATTAAGGTCATAACTGACCAGTAATCATAAGATAACCTACGGCCTTAGACAAAACCAAACATACATTATAATGGTAAAGGGGCCAAAATAGAAGCAGTCTTAAAAATTTTTGTCTATTAAGTTGTGCTTACATGGCATACCAAAAAGCATTTCCATATATATATATGTATTAATAACTCAAACCATGAACATAAATAAACATCTTGTGCGTCCAGGATCATACAAACATATGGCCAGCCAAACAGAAGGTTTAAATACATAGGTAATCCAACGAATCCACCAAGATAGCAAAAGAGTAAAACAAAAGGAAAAACAGAGTCTCATACGTGAGACATCCGGGTTGACTCCACAAAACTTGGACTTCTCTTACAAGCTTTATTGAGGCTAGGGTTGGACATCTCTTTGCTCACCTACATACATATAAATAAGAGTGAGTGAAAGCCCATTGAATAATACCAAAGTAAAGAGGTTATACAAATAAAATTTTCTAATAAGTGATATCCTTGTCAATCACATCAAACGGTCTTAGGCCCATTCATATTTCTATCAAATATATCAACCGGCCTTAGGCCCAAGCATATCAAACGGCCTTAGGCCCAATTCATTCTTATCAAATGGCCTCGGGCCCAATTCATTCTTAACAAACGGCCTCGGGCCTAATTCATTCTTATCAAATGGCCTCGGGCCCAATCATATCAAATGGTCTCTGGCCTAATTATCGTATCAAATGATCTCAGGCCCAATCATATCAAACAACCTCAAGCCCAATTCATTCGTATTCATATTTATGTGTATTTCATATTCGTGGTCATAATCATATTCATATTCAGACGGCCTTCGGCCCAATACATTTTCTTCGTAAAGCCTTATACAAACAATGGGCATAATGAATACTCATTCACAATTTAAATCAACAAATCCATGAAACTTATACAGAAGTAGCATTTGGAAAGTAGCATACTTAAAAGTATCTTTACTAAGATATTACTTATAGTGTTCAGCTGATGGATTTACCCTTGCGCTTGACCCTACATATTTCATAACACATTGGGTCAAAAGTAATTCAATCCGTTCTTAACTTGTTTATTTCTCTTAGGCCTCTTTCTTATCTATTTTCTTCATTTACAATGCTCAATACATGCCTAAGAGTGCTTAGAAATGAATGAGAACGGAAAAATGAATATAAAACAACTTTTCAAAATTTCTGAAACAGGGCTCTCTACTCGAGTGTAGCTTTGGTCGCTCGAGCGGCCTGCAAAACTCTGTGAAAGTACTAGTTGCACGAATTTTATGCTCAAGCGAGGAGTCTTGCAAAATAGGGTTCACTCGAGCACAAGTTTGGCCGCTCGAGCCACCATGCAAATCTTGCAAAACTTCTAGGAGCTAAATTTTCACGCTCGAGCGGACAAGTCGAATTCTGGAATTTCCAAAATTATGTTTGAAGTTCAAAACACACTCCCAAAGGTCCAAAGCTTGCAAATTGCCACCAAAACATAGAAAAACATTATCTAACATGTGAACAAAGGTAATTTGAAGCTAATTGTCCAAAACCATGATCCATTTCCCATGTCATTTCAAATCCTTTTTCTAAATTTCAAAGGTTATATAACCAAGCATCATGCTTTTATGAATCATGCATGCATGCAAAATATTGACTCTCATTCCACTTCAAATGGCACAATTGATGCTCAAAATCATGAAGCTTAACAAAATTAAGCATGCATGTGTGATTTGGCACTCAATTCTTCATGTTTAACATGCTACATGCCTGATCACACAAACTTGTGGCTATTCGTTACATGCATGGTTATTAGACAACTTAAATATCATTCTTAGCTTCCTTTTATTTTTGAATTCACATAACCATGATCTTGGTTAGAGTTTAATTACTCACCGAAAGCTTCAATTCTTCCAAGTTTGACTATTCTCTTGAGCTTACTTCCAAATTCCCAAGTTTTGAGCCAAAATCTACAATTTGCCCCATTTCTCTCTCTAGAACCGTCTCCCCTTCTCTCTCTAGAGTATGATTCAGCTAAAAATGAGAAAAGGGGTTCAAATGTGAGCCTATACATTAATCTCCCATGTATTTATAAGCTAGACTAATCAACATATCTAATCCAAGCTTAGTGTTAATTAACTAAGATGGATATAATTAAATTAATTTAATTATTTTGATCCGAATCAATTTTTAATTAAACTCCACCATAGGGTCTATAAATCATGCTAATCATAATGACACAGTCAATTCTAGTTTCTGTCGCCCCTACGGCCGTCAATTTTCAAATTATAGTAGTAAGTTGGACAGATTTTCCTATGGTGAACAGATATAACTTCATAACTCATATAATTAAACAATTAACATTCAAAATCATATCAGACACATAATCACAATCATAATTAAGATTAATTAACATAACATAGAACAGGGTTGTCACACTATCCATCTCCGTTGAAGCAGATTTAGATTTTTTTGAGAAAACAAGTACTTAAGACTCTTGTGGTCGGAGAAGACATCAAATTTCTCACCATACAAATAATTTCTCCAAAGTTTCAAAGTGAAGACAACAATGACAAGTTCTAAATCATGCATTAGGTAGTTTCTCTCATAAGTCTTCAATTGACGCAAGCTATATGCCACTACCTTGCCCTCTTGCATCAAAACACACCCCAACCCCTCTCTAGAGGCATCATAAAATATTATATACCCCAACCCTCGTTCTGGAATAATAAAAATAGGAGCGGTGGTCAATCTAAGTTTCAGTTCTCGAAAACAATTCTCGTAAGCTTCATTTCAAACAAATTTCACTCCTTTACGAGTTAACCTTGTCAAAGGTGAAGCGATTGAAGAGAAATTCCTTACAAATCGACGGTAGTAACTAGCTAAACCCAGGAAACTACAAATCTCTGTCGCATTTTTAGGTTGTTCCCAATTCCGTATCGCCTTTACCTTTGAGGAATCCACCATAACCCCATCTCCCAAAACTACGTGACCCAAAAACTTCACTTCTGAAAGTAAAAACTCACATTTTTTGTATTTCACATATAGACGGTGTTCTCTAAGAATTTATAAGATGATACGAAGGTGCCCTTCATGCTCCTCTTCTGAAGACGAGTAAATAAGGATGTCGTCAACAAAGACGACCACAAATTTGTAAAGAAACTCCCAAAAAATTTGGTTAATTAGGTCCATGAATTTAGCTAGTGCATTAGTTAAGCCAAATGTCATGACCAAGAACTCATAATGACCATGTCAGGAACGAAAAACAGTCTTGAGGATATCTTCCTCCCTAACTCAAATCTGGTGATAACTCGATCTTAAATTTATCTTTGAAAAACAATGTTAACCTTTGAGTTAATCAAAAAGATCATCTATTCTGGGCGAGGGGTATTTGTTCTTACCTATAACTTGATTCAATTTACAGTAATCTATACACAATCTTAATGACCCCTCTTTCTTCTTTGCAAGCAAAGCTGAAGCTTTCCAAGTTAAGTTGCTAGGGCGTATGAAGCCCTTACTTAACAACTTCTGCAATTGTTCTTTCAGGACAGCCAATTCAGCTAAAGCAAACCTATATGGTGACAAGGAAATGGGCGTTGTACCCGGTATTAGATCTGTAGTGAACTTAACTTCCCGGTGTGGAGGTAATTCAGTGAGATCTTCAAAAAAGACATCAAGATACTCGCATACTACCCTAGGAAACTCATCCTGGATTACACCATCTCTGTCCTTTATAATGGCTGCTAAAAGAGAAACAAACTCATCTCAGCCACGTGGATGGTATGACGGAAGTAAGGATTTATCGTTCCTATCCCCCCAAAATGTAAAACAATCTCCACTCGACATGCATACTATAACTCTCCCACGATAACAATCTATAATAGCCCGATAAGTAGACAACTAGTCCATACTGAGGATAACATCAAAACCTGGCATTTCCAACAACACAAAATTAAATGGAAGTTGTCAACCTACCACCTTAATTACACACCCTTGACATCCCAGTGTCAAAGTGACTTTACCCCCGACTAGTGACTCTACAGTGAGTGAAGATTTTAATTGTTTACTTTCTAACCCCAACAACGATGCAAAAGAAGTTTCCAGAAATGAGTGAGATGACCTAGTGTCAATGAACACACTAGCCCAAGAATTGAAAATGAGAAATGTACCTCTCACAATTGACAGTCCCGATGTCTGCTTTGAAGCGATGACGACATACGCCCTTCCCTGTGACCTTGGTTCTCCTAAGTCACCTCTTTGAGCATAAGTCCATTGTGCAGATTGTGCTGAGGTGGCCCCTTGTGTTGCCCTAGATGCTTGCCTTGACTGATCTAGCAGGTAAGACTGTCTTTGTCCCTGGCCCATCTGAAAACCTCCAAACTGTCGAGATCCTGCAACACTAGTAGTCCCCGCTCTCTGTGGACAAAACTTATTCAAATGCCCTAGTTGACCACATTGATAGCAAGACAGTGACTGATCCTATTCTAAGATTGGCCCTGTGGGCCCGTATGTTGGGACTGTGTTCCACCCTTCTGTCCATACTCTAAAGCTTTGTGATCCACTTGGCCATATCTATGGCAAGCACCATGGATTCGACCCGCTCCCTGAGCTTCCACCCATCACAGAATTGAAAGATTTGGTCTATTGTAGGGGTGATTGAAATGATAATGATGAGCCCCTAGACTTTTTGGAAGAGCCTGTATCGCCCTTGGATTTAGAATGTCTTGGTCTCTTCAACCTTTATCTTGCCTTCTCTGCCTCTACCATGATCTCCACATGGGCTGCTACTTCAACTAGGCGATCATAATCATGAATCATATTACCTACCACTTTTATCAAAAATTTTGGTCTCAACCTCTTTTCAAATTTGAGGCATCGACGTTCTTTTATTGCTACGAGTCAGGGCGCAAAGTGAGATAGACTAGTGAATGTGGCTTCGAACTCAACCACCGGTGTGTCGAGCTGTAATAATTCTTCTGGAACTTTTCATTTTTTGCTCAAGCGGTGGAATTGTCGCCTGAGCAATCCTCTTATAATTATGTTGTTTGCTCGAGTAGTCTGTATGAATTCAGCAATTTAAAAAGTAAACTCTAGATCATTCTTTCCGCTTTTCTTTTCTTCCTCCTTCCCTTTCACCTTAAGTTCGAAAACCCTAAGTTTTCACCCCAAAATACTCCTCATTTTCCTAAGATCCGACCTAAATCACTTGCAAGGAGTGGAATACAACTGGAGATCTTCCTTTTTATCGATTGGATTCTGTTTTTACGAAAGATTCTCTTAGAAGCTTGATCTTTTTTCTCAAAACATGAGATAGGGTTACATTTAATCTAGTATTTCTTTGTTTTGAAGATGTATCTATGGTATTATTGTGAATTTGAAATCTAATTTGATGATTGGGTTGGATAAACTCTTATTTCATTCAAAGGGGATCATATTACTCAACTTTTATTGAAATTTTTCCAAATCTTTTCTGAAAATGTGTATATAAATGTTAAGGAGATACTTATATAAGAAGATGGGGAGAAAGCCCCAAATTTGGTAAAAATCTTTCTAAATTGAGAAGAAAACAGTATTAAGATTGAAAATTTCTTGAATTCTTGAGATATTGTGAATAATAAAGAGATGAAATATACGAACAATGCTATGGTATTGGAATTGAGGCCTAGGAATTGATTATTCTTAAATGTTATGGGTGTTTCTCATCTCATGCAAAGTTGAATACTTGTTGATTGAATGAAAGTTTGGTAAATAGAGCATGAGTCTGGGTGAAGAGTCGGTTTTGATGTTGTTGAATTGTGTTGGTACTCGTGCGAGGAGTCAAGGTGCCCAATTGCCCTATCTTGAGCTTATCGCCGGACGAATGTGGAAAAAATGTTTTTGGGTGTCCACTAGTCTTTCCATATTGTAGTCATTAAAGTGAAAAAATGGATGATTTTGAGTGCCCACGTCCTGCCGTATAATAGTCGGTAAATGTGGGGAATGTTTTCTTTTGGAATGAAAGTGATTTAGGTATGTGTCTTTGAACTTTTACAAGTGACTCATGGCATATTACTCGTTCTAATATGGATTGTGATTTGGATGTGAGATGGAATGTGATTCTCGTATCATTTTGAATTAAATTACCTAATTGACTATGTTTTCTTATGAACTAATAACGTAATTTTGGTTATGATGGTGCTATGGACTTATTCAAATGATTAGATACTTGGTTAAATGTGCTCTTACTGGGCATATAGCTCAACCCTATTTAAATTTTCAAGACATGATGATGTACCACCACGGTGATGACTTGAAGTAAGCGGTCACTCAGTTTGGATTGATAGCTAGCGGATATTTTGCTCCCAATGCTTAGAGTTTTGTATGAAAACTTGTAAATTTATTTTGTTGTTGTCTTGTATGCCTTTTGGGTTTTTCTCTTTTGTATTGTTACTTAGTTCATTGAACTTGGGAAGGAGTTTAAAGTATCTTGGGAATGTAACTTTGAAATTGTAATTTCCTGAATCTTAGTTCAATGAGAAAGATGAATTTGGTATATTACTATGCTGCTTGTGGTGTATTCATGTAAGAAATGGCAGGGCGTTACAATTAAACTTACTATTTTATTAGATTTGAGTTATTACTCAATGGGACTTCACTTACTGTTTCATTAAATTTGACTTACTATTCAATGAAACTTCACTTACTATTTCACTAAACGTGACTTACTACTTAATGAGAGTCTACATACTATTGAATGATTTTTCTTTAACTAGGTGAAATGCTATTCCAACAAAATCTTAAATTTCGTAAATTAAAAATATCACATAATGTTAAAATAAAATAGTGATAGTGATAGAGATAGAGATACAGATAAATTCTTACCTTAATAATTTTTTGAATTTGCAAAAATTAAAATCACCCTCTTTCACTTATCATTTGTTACAGAAATCAAAAGCAAAACACAATATTGCTCATAGTGTGTGTAAATGAGTTGTGAGGTCTTCTATATTCTCCTAATTAACTATCTTCTTATATAGCAGTTACTGTTTTCAAGTGCAGTACGTAAAGAAATGTAATTCTTGTAGATGTATTTATATATTGCCATAAATAAAAATGTTGACAAATGAAAAGTTTTCCTAGGTTTATATTTTATTTAATTTTCATTTATGCTTTAAAATATTGTAGATATTAAATTTGTAAAAGCATATTCATTGCCAATCATATGAATTTTATGGGGAAAAAATTCATTTTATGATGGAAATTAAATTTATAAAAACTTACGAATTTATAAAAATTTCTAAAAGATTTGATTATGAAATTCATATTAGTTTATATAAAATATACAAAATTTATAAGAAATAAAATAAAAATATGGATATCAAATTCTTAAATAGTAATTAATGCCTTAAGGTGTTGTTAGTTAAAAAAAAGACACTTCTTTTAAATTAATTTTACAAAAAATAAGTTTAAATAATTTACATTTTAAAAGAAAATAGTTTACAATTTATTTTTACTTTTTTATTTAGTTTTAATATTATTTTGAAAAGTATTTTTTCACAATAACAACTTTATAAAATTTGGTAAATTAGTAACAAATTTTAATAAATTAATATTCACATGTCATATTTTACTTTCTACAACTCACAAAAGAGTAATAATATACTTACCACTGGTTTATATGACTTTTAATGTACTACCTTATGTGTCAGTATATTATTGATGTAATGTATTCCATCACTAATGTTTATCTTCAATGTAATACTGATTCCATCACTAATGTTTATCTTCAATGTAGTACTGATACATGAGCTGATATATTAAAAATGATATACGCAGGTGATAAGTGTAGCATCACTCCTTACAAAAAAGACTAAATATGAAGGAAAAACAATTATATATAATGTGTCATTAGTTTCATTTGTTTAAAATTAAATTATAATACAAAAGAGACCACAACTTTTGAGACAAAAAACTGTGACCTGATTAACAGGTAATATTGTTGAGTTGCATTTTATTTATATTTAAATAGTAAATTTATTTATAACAAGTAGTAAGTGCATTAATGGTAAGTAGTAAGTATATTTATAACAAATAGTAAGTTAGATCTATTTTTTCATTCCTAAATTAACTAAAACTACTTTATCTTTTGAAAAACAATCTTAGTTTTCTATCCATTTTTAGTCATAACACATCTAATGACTAGGATTTCATCCTATCCAAATCTATTGGTGCTATGTGTTTAGGTACCATATATGAAAACTACTTTCATGTACTATAGATTTTTCCATGAAGAAGAGGATACATGCATGACGCTGATTAGCTAACAAGCTCCAGTGGGCCTTTGTTACCCGAATCTAGATTAACAGTCGATCAGACCTTTTTTTTTTGGGTACCACCTACACATTACCAATAGATCTCTAACGTTTTCAATATTACAATGACCCCCTTATTAGAATTTGTTAGTTAACTTTGGAAGATTATATTTTTACACACCTGCTTATTTCTCTATACACACTTAATGAAATATTATTTTAATGATAATTATACCTTAAATTAAAATTATCATAATGGACATCAAAACACACCCTTAATATTATATTAAAATTTTCTCTATACATATCTTTTTAAAATAAAAAAAAATCTTAGGGCACATTTTTGAAGTAAAAAAAAATAAAAATAAAATTTTAAACCCTAAATATTCCATTGTTTCTCACTTTAATTCTATTTGCAAAATTTGAGTTTTTTTAACTAATATTCTTTTCAATATTGATAGATGTTTTGGTTAGGGAAGCACGCAACAAAGGCTAAGTTCTTAACCATTTGATATCAAATCATTATGAGTTTGGTTTTGCTAGTGCATATATCATCCCTTCTCTTCATTGGTGCATTCTATGAAGAGATTTCAAAAATCAAGGTTGTTAATATTGATTCACATTTAGCACCATCAATAGGAAGGTTGCAAGATTGTCGTGGATGCTTTGGTGGAAGATATCAATTCTGATGTCACCATTCAGCAGTACAGAACCAATTTTTTTTACAAAATTCGAAACTCAAGTTTTGAATAAAACAATTAGTTTAGAAATCAAGTTCCAAAAATCTATGAAATTTTCGAAAGGTAACAATCGAATAATGGATTTGTATACAGAAAACCAGTGCCAAATACACAAAATCAGAAATCTTCCAAGGAAAAGATGAGGGACTTTCAAACAATGGTGTTCGTCAATGGAGTGCAAACAGATAACGACATAAAAGGTTTCGAAATGGATGGAAGATACTCACCATCAACAATGCCATGGAGGGTCTTCAATGGAATTGTTAGTGTAGGGTCTTCAATGAAGTTGTCAATGGAGAGTCTTCACTGTGTCTTCAATGTTTTAGAAAGTGGCCCGAAAATGGGTATGAAAGTTTGAACATCAGGTGTGTGGAAGAAGGGTTTGAATAGAAAATGGGTACAAGTGTGTGAAATGAGGATTTAAGTGGTGTGCGTACAAGGATACAAGTAAGGGTATAACTGGAACATGAAGTGTGTGGAATAAGAACAATAAAATGACTTTAATGCCCTTGTCTGTCATCTTCTTGAGATGGATTAGGCATAGAGTTTCTTTTCCCTCTCACCCTCGCTTCACAACCTATCTCTCTCCCTTCACCACCCATCTCTCCCTCTTCATCACTACCAACTTTGGTTAGTACTCTCTAAAAGCATTTCATTAGAGGAACAAAAAAAAAATAAAATAAAAAAAAGAACCCCAACTATCACAACTAAAAAATGAAGTAAAAAATATAAGCGACCTATGACAAACAAATTAGAGACAGATAGGTACAGTGCAACATATAGATTA